AAAAACCTTATACAGCTTATAATTTTAAAAAACAAGGATCATATCATTCATCGAGTGATTTTTAGGTTAATTCACCTTTAAAATTTTGTTTGCGAAGGGATTTCGCCATTTTATATCATTAACTTTACTAAACTACTTTTTGTAGGAATGATTCATTGTTATTCGGTTGTTCTTGGTTTGTCAACTCAGCATGGACTCAGATAAATGTATAGACTAGTAAGTCGCCGGTAGACTGAACTTTCGTTAGTTTCAACTTAGTAAAAGACTAACAGGTAAATAAACATAGTAGAGTTTAAAAAAAGATTGGCCAGTCGTTTGACGTAATGTCAGGAAGTGGTAGGAGGAGAAGGGAGAGGAGACAGAAGAGAATCCAAGGATAGGCACTTTCCATTTGTTACCATGGCATCCGTTGGAACCAAGAGGAAGTCTTGGAAGGACATGAATAATGGTTTTCACGTTGATAGCATCACGTACACAGAAAGGGAATTGGCAGACAGACTTTACATACATGACACACAAAGGCCATTTTGTCCCGACATTTTTTTTTTTTTTTTTTTGCAAACGTGGCAGGAAGAATTATTTATTTATTTATTTCTCTTTTTCTTTCAGGCAATTAAAATTATTACGTAAATCACTTTTTATTGAGCAAAATGTCGCTGGACTCATGCGAATTCAATAAATGTATTTAGAGATAGAAGTCATGTTAAACTATCAAATATACACCAATAATCCGGCATTATATAATCCGATAATTTCTTTAATCTGGCACTTTATAAATCTAACGCCATTAGTTTTTGGACACGCCATTCCAAATATGTAGAAACCTAATAACGATTTTGAGAGTTGAGATTTCTGCTCGAAAATACGGCAGTTGTGGCACAAGGCTAAAAAAGGGAGAAAATAGGTTGAGGCTGGTTGTCACTATCTTATAATTAGATAATCCAATTCACGACCCATTCGAGATTTATTTCTCGAAAATACAGCAATTTTGGCAAACGATTTACATACCCATTGATAGTTTCTTCCAAATTTGACAACTTTTGATGCTTTTAGTAGAAAATTACTAGTGTATTATTTTGTGTTTTTAATCTTTTAAACATTACTTTTAATGCAATTAATTAAAAAGTATCAGTCAACGAATGTTTTAATCTAGATACACTAGAATCCCTCATATCCGGAATCCCTCATATCCGGAATGCCTCATATCCGGACATGATTTTGATGTGTATATTTGAACTCTTTGGGTGATATGTAACTGATTTGAAATTTCTGGTTTTCAGGAAATTTACTTTGGATAATTGCTTATGCTTATTTCACCCTAATGGCTTGTATTGGTGCAAAAGATGATGGGAATAAGAGGAAAGGATGACAAGGAGACACATCTCCAACATGATAGCGACGAGGTGCATGATTGTGATGAAACTTGAACTGAAATGGAAAAAAAGCTATTGAAAAGGTTGTCAGTTTTATGGAAAGAAAGCCAGCATTCAACTATGACGATTGCAATAACGCTCGCAGAGTTAAAAAGTGTATTCTGATTAAAGACTTTCAAGAACAAAAGCAAAACGAAATGCGGACAAAGTTGCGAATGATATTAGAAGAGAAAGAATCATCATGCAACAGAGATTAAAAAAATCCTCGTTACATTATTTGTTTTGCATACGTGGTATACTTAATTTAATGAATTTTCATTAACATTACATAATTTATTTATTTCTCCTTAAAATCACTCCCGTTATATTTCACTCACCATTGGCTTATTTTGTTTACTATAAAACATTGAAAATAAATGTTAAACCTGATTTCAGTTCTTTTCTTTTAATCTAAATATAACCTCTCATATCTGGACTTTGTAACAAATTTCTCATATCCGGAAGGCCTTCTTAGTTCGGTTATTAGGGATTCTACTGTATATAATTCGACAAATGTTTTTGACTGCAATATATATAAAAAATGTTTTAGAGTTATCTCCCTTGAAATTAAATAATTACAAGAAATTATAAACATATATGACATAAGGTTGCACTGTCATAATAAAAGATAGAAAAAGATTACAATTTTTCAAATTTATCTCCCTTGCACTGACGTAAACAATTGCCAGATATGGCAACAGTATTCAATGCACGATGAATGGTAGATTTTTAAATATGCCAGATGTCTTCTGACGAGAAAGGTTTTCTGGTACGACACAGTGAGCCAACTTTCCTTGCAATAGATGCAGCTATTGATTCAATGTAGTCGCCCCACTTACAAACGTCAAGCCAAGAAGGCGCAGAGTGTTGCACTCTTGGAGTCTAGCGTCAGCCATGCTGATAGTAGACAGAAAAGGTTATCTGTAGTGGTTAAATGAAAGCAGTTTTTATTTTGGAGGCGTTCAAATTTACAAGTCATTTCTTGCCCCAGTTAACCACTGATTGGAGGTCCTTTTCGAAAGCAATTGCCAGGTTTAGTTTGTCAGCTGTGACGGATTTTCTATTGAGACAGGTGTACATGGCAGTGTCACCTGCATAAATGCCTAGTTGGGAACTGATGACATCGGAGAGATCATTGATGAAGATCAGAAACAGCGTAGAATCTAGGATAGAGCTTTAAGTTAATGATGAGATGTTAATAGTGAAAACAAAATATTATGTTTTGCTTACAAAATATTCATAATTTAGCAAAATGCATTATCGACAGACAAACCCAAATTTGATAGTTTGTTTTACGGCGTATCAACCTCAATGTGTTATTTAATGCATATAAAAAAAATTTGCTGTTAATATTTCTTTTCAAAAAAGTATTGTTGGTAATATTTTTTTACCTTCAAAAATCTATTTCAGGTAATTATTTTTTTTTTCAAAAATGTATTGCTGGTAATATTTTTTTTCTTCAAAAACCTATTTCTCGTAATTTTTTTCTTCAAAATTGATTTTAAATGAAAATAGTTATCTCCTGTCAATTTCCCTCTGTAAGTTCTCCACTGCCTTAACTGAGTATTGAACTCACACACTTTGGGTCCTGTCAAGAGATCTAACCAACGATTTTATCCACTGTGCCATCTGTCCTTGATTAACAGGAGCTAACTGATAAACATGGCACATGGCATTAGAACAGTCTACCCCAGTGAACGAAATAAAGGGTTAAGTTCGACATTCCAACAACCTGAAGAAGGCCGGAGCGTACAACGCCCGAAACGTTGTAATAAATATGGCGACAAAGATGAGGACATTAGTTCGAATAATGTAAATAATGAGTAGCATTTTCATAAAGAATCCTTCGACAGGAATTGCGTTAAATTCATTGAAAGGACACGGAATATTGGCTGTCGTCGATATATTTTACAAGTTCAAAAGCCAAAAAAGGCATCGGTGTTTCTATGAATGGTGGGACATCTTCAGAGATGAAGTGGCGCTCGAATTTTCTGGGGGAAATGCCAAGACGCTAGTGACCAGTGGGCAAAAGATATTTAATCTTTGACAAGGATTTGGCGCTGGAGCATCTTGGTAGTCGAAAGTATTGCTGCTAATATTTTTACCTTCAAAAATCTATTTCAGGTAATTTTTTTTGCAAAAAATGTATCGCTGATGATATATTTTCCTTCAAAAATCTATTTCTCGTAATTTTTTTCTTCAAAAATGTATTTCTGGTAATATTTGATAACAAAATTGATTAAAAAAGAAACAAATTAAATGAAATCGGCTAAATTACATATCTTACCTAAATTACATACCGTAATTTCTCGAAAATAATACGCATTTTTACTGTAAACTACAAGTGATATTAGGGGTGCATATTATAGATAGGTTTAAACAGAAATATTTTTTCGTTATTGAAAACAAGGCACATAAAAAATCAAGGGTATTTGGTCAGCATTTCAAATACAGCCTAAAGGATAGTTGTGCTTTTTTTCTTAACTGAATAACAGAACGCTGAAATTCAAAAACTTATCTTCGTAGATCATAATAAGATTATAAAACCCAGGTTGTGTGGGTTTGTCTGTTTCGTTTATATATTGGATCGGATTTCCTACATTTTTCAACCGATTTCAACAAAACTTCACTTTCCTTTCTTTTTTTTTTTTTTTGGCAGGTAGTGTTTCTTATTGTATTGCACACTTTTTTCTTTATTTTTACATTCATGCTTTAAAAATTCCATTTACAAGACAATTGTTTATAATAAAATTCTATTCAATCGGTAGACTCATAACGATTGAAAACAATGTTTTTGTTTGAGTTTGGGTTAGACCAATTCGTAAAAAAAAAAAAAGAATAATTAAGACATGCGTGTCCGTCAACCTTAAACAATTTCCTTTGTCAATTTTATTTTTCAGTCTTTATGATGGTCGATACTTGATCTATCTCTTACTGTTACATGCCCGGGCAACGCCGGGTTCTACTGCTAGTATATCATAAAAAGAAAATACCAATTTTCTGAAGCTTTAAATGTGTTTCCAGGATACATGGTTTTCAAAAGTTCTTTCGCCTTCATCTTTATTTCCATAGTACTTATGGAAGAAACACTTGATCGTCTTTCTTTCACAAATTCAACTTAACTTTGTTCAATATCTGGATATTGAGCTTTTCTTCTTCTACCTATAGCTTTGGAACTTTATTTACACTTTTTTAGTTCATATCTATTCTTTCTCCATAAACGTATGTTAGCCTCATTCAACTTATATTCTCTAGTTGCAGTTCTCTTTCCTGTTCTTTCTGCTAATTCTATTACTTTTTGGTTAAAATTTGCACTATAACTCACACGTTTTGACGACATTTTGGCGGTAAAATAAAATGTTATATTTATCGGGATAACCGAATGGTTATTTTCGACATTATTTTAACCGCTTGGTTTCGATTTTATTCTTAATGTCAAAGTCGACAAAATGTCTTCGTAATTATTTTTTTTTATTGACAAAATTTATAGATGCGTATTATGCATAGGGATAGATATATTTCATAATTTTTGGATCATCTGTTGGAGTGTATATTATTTATGGGTGCGTATTATTTTCAAGAAATTACGGTATTTAAAAAAAAAAATTAAAAACTTAAATTTAAAGTTTCGGCGTCCTCTCTCTCCTTCATAAGCATGTATAATAACATCACCACGAACATCACTTTAATTGACTGAAGCCCTACAGAACAAAACGCGTTACACGAAAAGATTTTTCCCTGTTGTCATCGGTCAGTTAATAGCCGATGTGTTGTGAGATTCTTCCGCTTCATGGCTGACGAGGAAGGGTTCCCCACCCACCGCGGTAGGTTGCCATTTCTTTATACGGTAGACTGGTTGACAACCAAATATATAGACCCCAGTCTGTGATGCTATTTAACCCTTAACCTGGAGGAGAATAGATTCATACCTTTCCCAAGGGTATGGGCGTATTGAAGAGTGGAACAAGTCAATATATATTGTCGTAATCAACTCGACTAAGAATTCGAATCTAGCTCCCCAAATTATCATCCCGAGCTCGATAACAATTACCCCACAACACATATCCCATACTGTCCTGGATTTTCAAATAAAATGCTTTAATGCTTGAAGCTTAAATTAAGGAGGAATTTTCCTGATTATTTAATAACAGGGGTGGTTGGAATAAAGATGTACCGAGTGGATTTTTCTCATAAAAAGAATAATCGTCCTGGCCCATCTATTCGAAATACAAAGGTGAGTAGCATTTTCTTAAAGAACCCGTCGACAGGAATTGCGTTAGAATCATTGAAAGGACACGGAATCTTGGCTGACTTTGTTATATTTTACGAGTTCAAAAGGCAAAAAAGGCATTGGTGTTTCTATGAGTGGTGGGACATCTTCAGAGATGAAGTGGCGCTCAGAATTTCTGGGGAAAATGCCAAGGCTAAAATGTGGCGCTAGTGTCCAGTAGTCAAAAGACAAGAATTTGGCGCTGGAGCATCTTGGCAGTCGATCCATTTACGAAAGGACAATGGAAGAAATCCACTCACGGCACGAAAATCTTTTTTTTTTTCCTTTTCCTTTATCGTTTTTATCTTTTACTTCGAGTTTTTTTTGCGTTTTTTTTTTTTTTTCACTATTTTTCATCCAAATTTTATCTTCTTTCGTCCCTTTCTTTCTTCCTTCCTTTCTTTCTCTCTTTCTTTCTTTCTTTCTCCCTTTCTTCCTTTCTTTCTCCCTTTCTTTCATTCTTCCTCCCTTTCTTTCTTCCTTCCTTTCTTTCTTCCTTTGTTTCTCCCTTTCTTTATTTCTCCCTTTTTTTATTCCTCTTTCTTTCCTTCTTCTTTTCTTACCTTTTTCTTTCTTTCTTTCTTTCTTTCCGCTTATTCTTTCTTCCTTTGTCTCTTTCTTTCTTTGTTTCTCCCTTTTCTTCTTTCTTTCTCCCTTTCTTTCTTTCTTTCTGCCTTTCTTTTTCTATTCCTTTTTTTCTTTCCTTCTTCTTTTCTTACCTTTTCTTTCTTTCTTTCTTTCTTTCTTTCTTTCTTTCTTCCCACTCTTTCTTTCTTTCTTCGTTTCTTTCTTTCTTTCTCCCTTTCTTTCTTTCTCCCTTTCTTTTTCTATTCCTTTTTCTTTCCTTCTTCTTTTCTTACCTTTTTCTTTCTTTCTTTCTTTCCTCTCATTCTTTCTTCCTTCGTTTCTTTCTTTGTTTGTTTCTCCCTTTCTTTCACCCTTTGTTTTTCTATTCCTTTTTCTTTCCTTCTTCTGTTCTTACCTTAACCTTTCTTTCTTTCTTTCTTTCCTCTCTTTCTTTTTTCCTTCGTTTCTTTCTTTCTTTGTTTCTCCCTTTCTTTCTTTCTTTCTTTCTTTCTTTCTTTCTTTCTTTCTCCCTTACTTTTTTCCTTCGTTTCTTTCTTCCTTTGTTTCTCCCTTTCTTTGTTTCTCCCTTTCTTTTTCTATTCCTTTTTTCTTTCCTTCATCTTTCTTTCTTTCTTTCTTTCTTTCTTTCTTTCTTTCTTTCTTCCTTGGTTTCTTTCTTTCTTTCTCCCTTTCTTTCTTTCTCCCTTTCTTTTTCTATTCTTTTTTCTTTCCTTCTTCTTTTCTTACCTTTTTCTTTCTTTCTTTCTTTCTTTCTTTCTTTCTTTCCTCTCTTTCTTTCTTTCTCCCTTTCTTTCTTTCTTTCTCCCTTTCTTTTTCTATTCCTTTTTCTTTCCTTCTTCTTTTCTTACCTTTTTCTTTCGTTCTTTCGTTCTTTTTTCTCTCTTTGTTTCTTTCTTCTTTCTTTTCTTTCTTTCTCTCTTCCTTCCTTTCTTTCTCTTTTCCTTCATTTCTTTCTTTTTTCGTCTTTTGTTCCTTTCTTTCTCTTTCTTCTTTCTTCTTTCTTTCTTTCTTCCTTCCTTCCTCCTTTCCTTTCTTCCTTTATTTCTTTTTTCCTTTGTATCTTCTTTTTTTTTTTTTTCTTCCTCTCTTCCTTCCTTCCTTCCTTCCTTCTTTTTTTCTGTCTTTCTTTCTCCCTTTCTTTCTCTCTTTCTTTTTATATTTCTTTTTTCTTTCCCTCTTCTTTTCTTTCTTTCTTTTTTTCTATCTTTCATTCTCTCTTTCTTTCTTTCG